TGAGCATAAGGATTTTAGAAAAAAGTATCGTCTTATAGTCGGAAAAATACGGTATATTCTTCTGAACATAGAGAAGATACATTTAGCTATCACTGTTAGTAACTGTTGGTAACTAACTTGATTTAATCTTTAAATAATTATGCGTGCGCACACACACACACACAGAGGTAGTCCCTGGGTTAAGAATGCCTGGTTTACAAATGACCCATAGTTAAGAATGGAGCCTATTGTAGCAAAATTCAATTTTGAATGGTTTGAGTTAATTACACAATACTACTTAACAGTATTATACAATAATACTGTTCTGGCTTACATACAAATTCGACTTAAGAATAGACCTTGGGATTGGAACTCGTTCTTAAACTGTCAATCATCACATCTGCAGCAATAAATTCAAAAGTTGAGTTAATGAATGTGAAAAATTTTGTATGGAGCATACTTGTGGGGCAGCCTTTTCCCTATATGAAGAATGATAATTTTTGAAAAAGAAAATAGTTTGCAGACAGTTTGTGTTTACTACTTGGGGCTTCTGATTTGTGTTTAATTTAGCTCCTTGGGCATTATTAATCACTCTCTCTCTTTCTTCTTTCTTGTACAAGCACAACACATGCCTAACAATATCTCCTGTGGCTTGTTTCCAGTCCAAAGAACTCAGAGGCATCTTTCCAAACAATATGAAGGTTTCATTGCATAACTGATGTGAGGAATTTACGCAGAAAAGATGAGCTTGGAATAGGTGGAGCCAAGAAGAGAAGTGATAGGGGATAAATGCATTGAATGGGCATGAAGCCATTCAAAAGAATACATGAGAGCTGGGATTGCCATTGCCAGTTGAAATAGGCAGATGAAACAGGTCTACGGCTTGATTGCATAACAGTTTTATACACTCGTATGTGTTCTTTAAGTTACCATGGTTGGTGTTTGTCCTGCCCATATCTCTGTTCTTCAGAAATAAATTTTGAAGTAGTATGTTGCTGTATTAAAAATACATTTTACTCATTATTTAATTAACATTCAGCCCAATATTAATATAAAAAGTGGGTTATTCTAATATTATTACTAAATGATTGTTACATAATACAATTCTTTTATAATAGAAAACTTACCTCTTACACTTGCAAGTTAGTATAATTAATGGTCAGAAAAATTACTGAAAATCATGTCTAAAAATTGATGGATTAGAAAATAAAAAAGAGGGTTAATGATGATCAGTTCAGTACAATTGTGCAAATAGGATATTGCTGATTTACAGAGTTAGCTATCAGAAACTGCTACTAGGTATTGATCTTTCTGTCTGTAATTTATCAATAAAAACTTGCCTCTTGAAATGAACAGTCTGGGAAGGAACTTAGGAGCTAAAACTGGAACGGAAAATTGTGAAACATTTGTTAATATTAAAATAAGACACTGAAATTGATTTCTGCTTTAAATTGGCCATACTTTCTTAGCCAGCTACATTATTGTGGTTCTTAAAATCTTAAAACCATTTACCAGTTAAAGATCATTTAACTGTGATAGGATTAGGTGCAATTGAAATTCTAACACTTTTAAGTTATTTAAAGTAATTTATATGCACTTCAATTATATCGAAAAAGTAGGAAGTTGGGATCCTTGCAAGAGTCCAGAAAATCTCCACAGTGTTTCCCAGTTTTTCCCAGATGCAAAGCAGAAAAAATATGAACCTATGAAGTAACAATAGCAACTAGAAAACTTTGCAGTAGGTCTCCAACAGAAATCCCGGACAAGAGACATAGAAAATTAATACTTATCAAATTAATAACTGTTGGAAGATGAGGCAGGAAGTAGTAGCTGCCATAGTTGTGGTACGAGGGATGGTAATGGGGGCTTGGGAAAACAGTGGATAGGAGTGGGGTGGGGAATCCCAGGACCACAGAGGAAATATTGGTAAAAGAAGGAGTAAAGCCTATATGGGAAAAAATTAGAGATTGAGTAACAGTACCAGCTGTGTGTTTTGTGGTATTTAGTCAGCTGAAGATTTCTTAGATGTAGCTATTTAGAATTGGTCCTTGGTATAATGTCATGAGTTATGCCACTATACTATTCACAGAAAAATGACTAAAACCTCAGTGTGGTACAGACAATACTATTAACTATATTAGGAATTATTATCTAATTTATCTGTCGGGAACTATTTATGAACCTTTTGCATTAACTATGAAGACTTCGTTGTTGTGTGATGTTCTTTAACAAAAATACTTTTAAAGAACATGTCTTTCTATAGAGACATACATGCCAATGGTTATACTGTATAGATTCATCCCTTTAGATTATCAGAAGGGATAAAGGGAATAAATAATATTAGGTAATATTTTTAGGCTAACCAAGTATGATATGCTGATAGCACAGAAGTTCTACAAGATTTATTTTCAGTTCAAATTCTTATAATGTATAATTAATTATCTATATGTATACAAAATGAGACAGCAGAACACTTTTTTTTTTTCCTATTTCAGTCTGATGTGCTACTTTGCTATTCAGTCACATGTTGAAGTGTCAGATGTCTCTGGTATTATTTTGCTGAAATCTTTGAGAAAGTCAAACTGGCCGTAAAATTCTACATGGCATGTGGGGCCTGGTTACTTTCTCCCATACTATCCAATCAGTTTGATCTGGCAGGGTTGGTGTGCTCCAGGTTACATTGATTAAACAATGCCATCTTTCAGAACCCCAGAAGGGTGCCTTCTCTGTAGGAGCACCCACCCTCTGGAATGAAGTTCCCCCAAGGTTCAGACAGCCTCCACTCTACTGGTATTTCGAAGGGCCCTGAAGATGTAGCTCTTTGCCCAGGTCTTTGGTGAGGACAACTGATGCCCCTTTTCTACCTTTTCCTTGTTTCCATTCCAGTTTGTTTTCTCTGCCATCTTTGTTTCTTTGGCTTGTGTTTCTTGTATTGTTATTTGTTTTTAAATGTTTTTAACAATTTGTAAACAATTTGGGAGTCAGGCAGCATATAAATTTAATAAATTATTGTTGTTACTATTATTTCTTATAAATTAACTGATAGAAAACTATAGAAAATTATAATTATATAACAAGTTACTGAAAGTTACGAAAGGAAGAGAATGGCTAAGAAGAAAAAGACATCGTCAATCATATTCTAGTTATGTTATTAGGAAATCATAACTAACGCCCTAAATAAACTCTGGCCATTTCCATACAGCCATCAGCCTTATGCTTCTTCCACTCTATTCCTATTCCATTTTTATATTCTCACATAAGTGTTCACATCCTTGGGGTTTTGGCAGATGAAGAGGGGTGAGAAAAAAATAGAGGAGCATAAAAATCAGTCCTCCAGCCTGGACCTGAACCTCACTTTTATCTTTCCCATTTTCTTGCCGTGTTTATTTTTGCAGTGAGTGAGAAAACAAGGAAACCAATGACTGTGGAAAGGGAGAAGAACAAGGTTATCTCTCCAACTGCTCATGGGAGGTAGGATATGGTGAGTATCCATATCCTATGGGAAGCTGTTCATGCTGTAATTAAAAAAAAAAATACTACAAAATTGTCCTTTGGAGAAGGAACTGAACCATAAGGTAAATCAGCTCAGTTTCTCATAGCATTTTGGGTACACATGTGGAAGCAACCTATTTTTAAGTTAAAAGGATAATGACAGGGTTAAATACCATGGTTATAGAATTCTGTATTTAAATAAAATATAAGGAATCAATTTTTAATATTGTTATTGTCTTACCGCCAATTGCCCTGCTAGAATTAACATGTAATTACAGCTGTTGAATCTATCTAGCAATAGTTGCTTGGAATGAAACAAAGCATTCACACTAGGTTTTGTATGAAAGTATTTTAAAGTGTTACTAGTCAGACTGATCTATCCATATTTATTTATAATATGTAGCAATTTTATTTTTGTGCTAGATAATAGTTTAATGCAATATATGGTATGATGAATGTAGCGATGAGTGATCCAGATTCAACAGAAAACATTACACTAGCCAGTATCTTAAATAGCAACTGTTACAAATTCTATAGGCTGCAAAATCTTTCCAAAATCACAGAACTCCTTATCACAAATGAATGCAAATACAGGAGACAGATGACAACTTCCCCCCCCCCCAAAAGTTGACTTTTTAGGTCAAGTATTCTAATTAGATATATAACAACAAGTTTTTGATACCTGCAAGATTATCAATCTCTTTCTCTTGCAGCAGACTGACAGCATCATCATCTCCTTCTAGCATGAGTTCAGTTTCAGCATTCTGGTTGACTACAGCTTGACTTCGGAAGGTTTTCTTGGACTTCACTACATCTTCCTCAGTGCCTGTAAACAAACAAAAATTATCTTCATTTTGGTTCAGTCTGAACATCCATTAACTGTTTTCAAATGCAAAATTAATGGAATCAATTCATACTTCAAAATATGCTTTCAAAACTTTACAAAAAAGAGACTATATGTTTTAGACAAGATGGGTTAGGATTATTATGTAAATATTGGAGTAAACTTCAAAATAGAAGATAGAATCCCACCTTAAAAAACTAAAGTGTCACATTGATGGCAGTTACTCTGTTATCGCAACCTGATGAAGCATATGCACTAGAAATACACTAGACATTTAGATGAATTTGGCCAATGTGCAGTTTAACAATTTATATAAATCTTTTTGAAATTAATTTTGTTTTACAATACGAAATATACATTTTTTTTAAAGAGTTGGCTTGGCTTCTTTAGTATGATTGAAACTGCAGCTTTTTTACCATTCTCTAAATTTATCATTCAGTTTGCCACAATGAAATAAACATTTATCTAAATGAAAGCATAGGTTTGCCCTTCAATCAATGAATCATTTATGAATTAGAATTTCATTTATCAAAATTACAGAAAGAACTATAATGTCACAGGGGGCTCTCTCATTACAAGGCTTATAAACACTGTCCTTGCAAAGAAATGGTTTAACACCTAACAAATCAAATATTGATTGGGCATTGCATTTATTTGAGATCATCTATCTTCAGAAAACATGCTACACTGAATGGACTTTTTGGCCTCACTACACATTCATCAAGAAATTAACAAGCAGCTTCTATAAACTACCAGATCACCTTGTATTCTGAAATACACAATATGTTCTGAGGAGATTTGTTACAGATGCTCTAGTTAGATATTTCTAAAGAGGTATATAAAGGTTCTCAAAAAACAGATCAATATTTTTCTCTTTTGAAACAGAAGGGCACAAATACAGTTTGAAGATGCATTTGCTTTCAATTACTGATAGCTAATAATCCTAACATTGAACAAGATAGAAAGGCCAACATTACTATGACTATTTAACATTTTTATATCTAAGCATTCAGATTAAAAATTGAAAATAACTTTGACAAAGATGATCTCTGTGTGATGAGGCAACCAGGAAAAATATATATATATTTTACCATTAGCATTTTATGAAGGAATACTGCTAATAATAAAGTTCCCTGATTACGATGAATTCTACCAGTGTTGCAAGATTTTGGACCCTTATTTTTATTTCATAAAACATTGGCCAGGGTCCAAAGTGCATTTTGGAATCAAAAGTGGGACTGGACTTATATACTGGATTTTTTTTTTTTTAAATAGTATTTAAACATCCCAAGAGTCTCCACTATTGAATATTCAAACTGGACAACCTCTTGGAACTTCTCTATTACAATTACCAACAGAAATAGCACAGTTTAAAATAAAACCACTCTTTTAATAAGGTTATTTTAAGTGTTGTAAAAGTATACCAAATAATAAGCAATGTTACTTAATTGGTATAAGGTAGTCAGCCTTAGTATTAAGATATTAAAAAGTCCTGGCTTTAATAAAATATTTTCAATATTTTATAACTTTATTTTAACACATTGCATAAACATCTCATTAAAAGTAATACATTTTCTTTTATATATTTCATTTAGAATGTAGTTGTTGTGTTCCACATTCAATATTTAATCAAAAATATTCTTTAAACATACACTATGTTTTGTAGTATAGCACCTATGGGTGTGCCTTGACTGAATTTTAATATTAATGGCAGTATTTTAGTTATTTTTTATTTCAGGCCACAGCTAAGCAATTCATCAAAGTGTGACATGAAAATATTTATCTCTCTTTGTGTTTTTAGAATTGAGAGACAATTCTAAATAAAAAAAGTCTAGAGTCATAGACAAAAAAAAAATCACTTACATTTTCATTATAAATTTGGTGTACTTAAATGACTGCAGATGCTGGTTCATCTTATTTTACTCTAGCCTCAAAATCTGGCCTATATACTTTTTTAGAAACTCAGGGAACAACATTCAAATTTCCTGTTAAATAAATGAATTTAAGGAAAATTCACAAATCTCTTTTTCTTGTGTAGCAACAAAGAAATCTCTTGGTCTTGTGGAAAGTTGTATGCAATTTTAGATATATTTATATCCCCTCCCTCCCCCCTCCCTCCCATCTTCTGAACATTTTACATTTCTAAAATAACAATATATGATTTTCTAATGTTTTTGTACCTGATACAATGGAACACAATACTACACTCCTATTACAATTAACAATTAAGATTTAGGACATGTTGATCCAGCTGAACTTTATCAGACTTTATTATTTTATTTGCTTACAGACTACAACTGAATTAATTCAGCATAAACATAAATATGCAGAAATGTATATATTCTAAATAATGACTTCAGTACAGGAAATAAAAATAATGGATGGAAAATATACCATAGTGTGGATCAAAATGAAACTTCTGAGAAAATCATAATATAGAGAAATAAGAAGATATACAAGGCACTCTTCAAACAACTGCATATCTTGTACTAGCTATATTAACAGAATTAACCCTAATGGTCTCCTGAAAAATGTGATTGACTTGGATTTATCTTTTTTTAAGCCTTAAGAAACATTATCTCGTACTTGTTCATTCCAGTTTCTAACCTTAGGGATACTGATATATTTCCATACCTTGGCTTATGAATCAAAGACACTATCAAAAGGAACTGTACACTAAATAATTCTATTGATACAAGCCAGGATCTCTTTTCAGAATTTTTTAGTCCAAGATAAAACTACCATGTATGAGATATGATCCCATATAACCATTCACTTTCAAGACACATTTGTCAATGATGAAGTTTGGCTGGTTATAGACACTATCTACCTCCCCCAACAACAACAACGAAGTATGGCCTTTTATATAATTAATCAGGCAAAGGGGAAGGGTACATGACGTCCACAGACGATCACTTATTATTATTATTTTTTTAAAAATGAAGTAACAGTAAGAAAAAAGAAATACTGAATAATTCAGATGCACTGAAATAATAGGTATTATTAGTAGACAGAGCAAAGTATGAACGAGTAGTAAACCAAAGCTCTTATGAAACCAGAAAAACCTAGCCATTTATTCAATACAATAAGGAGCCTTTCATACATACATACACACACACACACACACACACACACACACACACACACATATATATATATATATATATAATATATACATATATATTCCTCCCTTTCTCTTTTT